GTTTTAGAGAGGGTCAGGTATTACGGGAAACCACAGGGATGAATGCATATGCAGATAGATAGTTTGAGGAATACAGGAAAAGTAGTGGGGTGGATGGCGAGGTTCTTGGGCAGGTATGTGAGTATGTGCCGTGTAAACTGGGGAGGAGTGATCGGGAGGCACTGGGTGGGGTCATTGAGGAGGAGGAAATATGGAGAGCCCTTATGGACATGAGGAAGGGAAAGGCACCCGGGATCAATGGTTCACCAAGCGAATTTTATGTACAACACTAGGGTCTGCTTAGGGGTTTCCTAGTAGGGTTAATGAATGCCATGAAAGAAGGAGGTAAGATGGGAGAATTGCAGGCAACGGCGGTGGTGGTGTTGGTCCCGAAGGGTAAACAGCAGAGTACACTTCGGGATTACCGAGCCATTTCGTTGCTTTGCGCTGATTATAAATTGTTCGCGAAAATTCTTGGGAATCGGCTTAAATGTGATGTGGGGAGGGTCGTGTTTGAGTCTCAGTTTGAGTTGCCTGGTAGGTCAATGGGCGAGGGCCACGGGATCATAAAGGAGTTCCTGGAGGACATGGAAAGGGAAAGAGGGGCGTTGGATTGGCAAGGGGCTTATGACAGGGTGGAAAGAAGGGCTTTGAGGAATATTCTCCTACGACAGGGGTTTGGCGAAGAAATAGTGGGGTAGGTGGATACGTTGTACTCAAGCGCGAAGGTAAGGGTGCAAATCAATGGGTGTGTGGGGGAGGGAGTCAACATGGAGTGGGGTCTTCGGCAGGGATGTCCATTATCACAACTATTGTTTGCATGTGTTCAGGATCCCATTTATAGGATGGTGGAGGATCGTCTAAGGCCGGGGGGGGGGGATGGTGAGCAGAAGCCTTGGCCTGGTTTGGTGGGCTATGTTGATGATACAACTATTTTGGTGAGTGAGGAGACACAGTTAGGACTTTTGGGGGAAGCTGTACACAATTTTGGGAGAGCTACTGGGATGAAGGTAAATCTGGAAAAGTCAACGATAATGGGGCTGGGAGAGTGGGCAGGGAGATTAGAATGGGGATGTGATGTGCAGCGGCGGACAGGGAGTCTGAAAATATGCGGTGTCATATATGAGGCTGACCTGAGTGCTTCCAGGGTTAACAATTCGAATAGGATGGTGGAACAGGTGCAGCAACGTTTGGGAATGCTGCGACCTCACCATTTAACCCTTAGGCAACGTGCAATTGCCATCAATGCATTACTATACAGTAAAGTCTGGTTTGCATCGGCAGTGTTGCCGTTAACAGGAATAGCGATCACGAGTATTCTTAGAATGGTGTTCAAATTTTTGTGTGGTTCAGGGTGCAACTGGTTGCGAAGGGAGGTAGTGACATTGCCGGTATGTAGGGGAGGGTTAGGTTTGTTGGACTTGAGAAAGTGCGTGAAATGTGTGTTTATTAAGAGGGAAGTGATGCGTGCAGGTGGACGGAGGGGGGGGGGGCAGCTAGATAAGGTAAATGCTCACCTGCGGAAATGGTATGGAGGGGCGGAAATGAAGGAATGTGAAACAGTGTTACATACCTTAGTGTTGTTAGCCAGGGAACTGGGAAAAGTAAAGGTGGGAACTTTGTGTAAATTGTTAGAGGAACATGTAGTGGCGCCGGTTGAAGGGATCTACCCCATGTATGCATGGGATGTAATATGGCAAAGATTTAGTAAATTAAGGATATGACCTAGGAAGCGTGAGGTTATGGGTTATGGGATTTTCCAATGGGAGCGATGCTCCAAGATAGGAGGGTCATCGAGGGTGGGGGGTATGGCAGATGCAGTGGGGAAGAGACTGTGTATCATGTTGTCTATTTTTGTGAAGGTTTGGAGTGCATCAGGGTATGTATGAGTAAGGTAGTGGTAAGGGTGGGGGGTCAAGGTGTGTCGGTATTGCGAGCGTTGAGTCTTGATATGAGTGGTGTGGATGAGGGTGTGGTAAGGGGTTTAGCATATGTAATCGTGGACTACATATAAGTGTTGTGGGGTATGAGTGGGAAGGAGGGTGGGGATGCGCTGAGAAGGACTTTGGCGGCGACGTTTTATCGAACTTTGTGTCGGAATAGAGACATATTTGGGAAGAGGTGGGATGAGGTTTTTTCTGAGGGTTATAGAGGACTAACAATAGAGAATTTATTGGCGTTATAAGGGGTTTTAACTGCTGGGGTGAGTAGGTTGGTAAAAGGGGGGGTTTCAGGGGTATTCAACGGGCTCACCTCCTTGGGTGTGCAGTGATGGGTGGTTGGGTGTGATTGGAGGTTGTGGAAAATACTGTATATATTTTCCAGAAATACAGTAGTTACATGTAAATAGATGGCCATACTGTATTTAATAATATTTATGTCATAGAAAACGGAAAGCCTGCGTCTAGAAGCGTTAGTGTAATGGGAAGAATTTTTCGTGCTCTAGAGGTTAAAATTGGGCTGACACCTCTCAAATAGGAGACGAAATTGTTGGATATGCAGTCCTGCTTAACTTGAGATATCAGGCGACAGGACAGGACAACTCCAGGAACCTCAGATAAGCTGTCTAATTTATGTTTAAATTCTGGCCAGTAAATTTTTCATAAATGTAGGCAAAAGGGGGGGTCCTGTACATGACACATTAATCTCCAGTCAAATTGGTGAGTGATATTAAGATATTTTCCTTCTGTTATGTAAATGTGTTTATATAATCATTTCTTAATTTTAATATACAGTCCACAAATTTATATATTTACCAGCATTACTGGTGATGTATTTTTCGTTTGTAATTAATAGGTCCAGAGCAACTTGTGGATATGACAGTGGTAGGTATCGAAGGGGGGCATTTTTTGCGACCTAGTTGTCCCAAATTCCTACATGTCTAACTGATAAATAATAATTAAGTTTTCATTTACTCTTATGTATATAATGATACATTCAGCTAAATGCAATTTTCCACAGAGGTACTCGTGTGGGACTAGATGAGAGGTTGTGAAAGATTAATTTTGCTTAGTTCCCTTGATGGGGAAGGTGTAAATAGCAGTTTAAATATATAACATTTATTAATATATAACCTATAAATTATATAACATGTATATTTTCTTTGGTAGCGTATTATGTTCCGCTTGTACTGGTCTTGTAACGTGTTCCTGCATCAGTTTTGAAGTAATTACCTATTATGTAAACATGTGTGGATAAGGATTAGTACTCTAAATTAATATTTTTTTGTATATATATTTGTATGTAATACTAGTTAGGCACGTGCTAGAAGGCACAGCGAAAGTATAGACTTGTGGAATGTGTGTTACGTTTGGGTAAGTTTGTATGTGGCGTGTTAGGTGTTATAATGAGTTTGGTGTTGTTAAGTTACTAAAATCATGATGAACCTTTTGGATAATACTTATTCATGTCGTAGTCTTGGGCTCTTTAAAATATTTACATAGCCTAGTATTGTACCGCTAATATGTGGTGTATTATCTTGCATTTTGAGCGTGAACGTCACGTCATGCAATGTTGTTTTGAAAGTTTGTATTTCATGGTTGTTAACATTAATAATTGATATTATATTGGTGGTGTATATTCTTCAACTTTTTACGGTGTATGTGTATAGGAATGTAATGTTTCATATCTGTTTTAGTCTGTAAATTTATGTTTTTGTGTCTTGTTCATGCACTACCAACTCTTGGTAAATACTCATTAAGGTTTTGATGAGGTCAGGGTATGACCATTAATTAGGATAATTAATATATGTTATTTAGAACGGTGACTACATATGTTAAGGGGGAAGAAGTGTCAGCTGTGTTTCTGCACTGGCAATAATGATTATTGTAAAAGGAGGGTTTGTAGGATGTGTTGTGGGTTATGTATATGGTTGTAATATGGCCATTATATATGGGTTTTATTTTCTGTACTGGGATTGTGTACAAGAGGTTTTTGTAATATCTAGTATGGTTTTTAATTTTTACACTCTTATAGAGGCCAGAACATTGTGTAGCTTTAAAAATAGGTTGGATAAATACATGAGTAGATGTGGGTGGGTGTGAGTTAGACCTGATAGCTTGTGCTACCAGGTCGGTTGCCGTGTTCCTCCCTTAAGTCAATGTGACCTGACCTGACTAGGTTGGGTGCATTGGCTTAAGCCGGTAGGAGACTTGGACCTGCCTCGCATGGGCCAGTAGGCCTTCTGCAGTGTTCCATCGTTCTTATGTTCTTATGTTCTTATACATTATTGTATTTGCTCTATGTTTTAAATAAAAATATAAAAAAAAAGTATATGTTATTTTATTATCTCCAAATGTGTTTATGCCACAAATGATAATTTTCACATGGAAGATGCTCGAGATACTTCGTTAAAATCTGCACACTGAAATTATACCATACGACAGATAGCAGGAGGCATATACTGGACGATGATAAGAAAGTACTCAGTGCATAGCGGTGGTTAGGTGAGCAAACTGTGAAATATGTCAATAAGCATAACGGTTTCGCTTTATATATAAATGGCATTGTAAATTTGCCCATAAGTTTATTCAGGAAATTACTGATTAGAATATAGCAATCCATACTTTGACTGCTAACAGCGAGTACCTAAGCTTGTCTGATCATGCAATCAACAGGGTTTTAGACCTCGTTGGCGCTGATCCCCATAAATCCAACTACAGTGGAACCCAGTGTACGATTGTACCGGACCTCGAACAAACCGGAGTCCGAACAATTTTGTTCAGAAAACTGACCCGGTCTTTGAACATTTTTCTAGAATCCGAACGCACTGGTTAAAGACTATGGAAGAGTAAGTTCAACATCCTCAGTGTGTGTGAGGCTGATAATTAAAGCATGAGAATTACTGATTCGGACATCAAACTTTTCATAGTCCGAACACAACCTAGAATCCAATTAGGTTCAAACACCGGGTTCCACTGAACAGGTACAATGCAAGGTTTATTACCAGACTGTTTCACGTGAGTCATTAAATTCATAATATAACATGAGTGAATCACCAGTCGGCTGCCACTGGTCGATGGAGCAGTAGAGGTTACACCAGCTGCGACAGCTACCACACTTTCACTGGCCCCCAACGCTCTCACAGGTGAGTCAGGGAGACTTCAAAAATCAGATATTTGTTTCTTTTATGCTGTACGAAGATAATGTAGTTAATATGTAATCAAACATTGACAGTCGCAAAAAAGCCACTAGTATGCACTTTATGGTTCCAGTGTCTGCAACGAGGTTCATTACTCATGAAAAAATGATTGCACTCAACACCATTAACTACTATGCTACTTAAGGTAAGAATATCCTTCAGGTCAGTGACATAAGCAAAAGATATGGATCTATAACAGAGAAAGGAAGGTGAGACAAAGTGTTTCCTTGGAGCTGGTATTGGTGGCATAGTCAACAGGTTGGATAATATTATGTCAAGTAATAGGACCAAGACCATTAACTACGTCAGTGCTGATGGAAATGATATTGGGAAGGGCAAGAGAAAGGACCTGATAGTTTAGTAAAAGACAGTTTTAGATATAATTACGTCTAAGGGAGAGATCCCAATCATATGTATCATTTTACCTAGCAAGGGAGAGGGCAATGAATAGATGGTGTAAAATGCTGGCTAGACATGTACAGCAAAGAACTTGGATTCCCATCCACTGACAGTGGGGACAATTTCTATAGTAACCATGAAATGTATGTAAGGAAAGGAGTACATTTTTCTGGGACAGGAGTAGCAGCGTTAGCAAACTGTTGAGGGTGCGGTTGCTGAATTGTCTAACCTAGGACTTTAAACAGATAATAGACAGAGATATGAATGTGTGTGTGGAGGAAGCAGGAAGCAGCATGAAGGAGGAAAGCAGACAAAAAATACCAAGATAACTCAAATGTTCAAGGGATATTTTTCATCTTAAAGTTACTAATGAAAGCAAAACAAATGATCTTTGTTGTACAGAGAGAAACAGTAGAGGGCAGCAAGTGACTCCTTTAATTAAGGTCTGCAATATTAAGAGTATTAGCGATAGAAATAAGATAAATGACCAAAGATTATGTGCCGGGGCTTGGACTTGCAGCAAGCATGCATGAGCGTGTTAGACACCGAATGGAGACAAATGGATTTTAGGACTTGATGTGCTGTTGGAGTGTAAGCAAGGTAACATTTATGAGGTGATTCAAGGAAACCGGCAGGCCAGACTTGAGTCCTGGAGATGGGAAATACAGTGTCTACACTCTGAAGGAGGGGTGTTAATGTTGCAGTTTTAAAACTGTGGTGTGGGCATGTCTCTGGCAAGACAGTGATGGAGTGAATGATGGTGAAAGTTTTTCTTTTTCGGGCCACCCTGCTTTGGTGGGAAACGACCAGTGTGTTAATAAATATACATTATATATTATATATATATATATATATATATATATATATATATATATTATATATATATATATATTATATATAGTCGTGCCGAATAGGCAGAACTTGCGATCTTGGCTTAAATAGCAACGCTCATCTTGCCATATAGGACAAGTGAAAATTTGTGTATGCAATAATTTCGCCAAAATCATTCTTAACCTAACGAAAAAAAATATATTTCACTGTGTTTGTTTAGTATTAAATTATTGTAAACAAATCTAAAATATATTTAGTTGGGTTAGGCTAAAATAAATTGCTCTTGTTATAATAAGGTTAGGTAAGTTTTCTAAGTTCCTTTTGGTGCAAAATTAAAAATTTTTACATTAACATTAATGAAAAAATATATCTTTAAACGTATAAGAGAAAATTTCAGAAAGGACTTAATTTTAAATGAGTTCTTGCTAATTGACCAGTTTTACATATTCGGCACGACATTATATATATATATATATATATATATATATATATATATAATATATATATATATATATATATATATATATATATAATATATATATATATATATATAATGCTTTCCGACAATGTTTGATCAATTATACCGACTATTCTAGGTAAAAAGATAAGCCAATTCAGCGAGCTCAGTTTATTTTAATGACATATGTACGTTGTATTGGGATTCACTGATACACATTTATTCTTTACCAGTCTGTTTCATGTTGTATTTTAGATTTAACTTCATTTAAATAAAATTTTTAAACACTTTTGTATTTTATTTTTCATGTATAAATCATGAAACTGAATAAATAACCTAGTAACTTTGTATCTCGTATGTTCGAATTTGATCAATTATACCGACTATCTGGTAAAGATACCAATTCGCGAGCCAGTTATTTAATGACATATTACGTGTATTGGGATTCACTGATACCAATTTATCTTTACATCTGGTTCATGTTGTATTTAGATTAACATTGCCTTAAAGTAAGAACTTGTTAAACACTTTTGTTTTTCTTTGTTTCATGTAAGTAAAACAGCCGTAACTGTGGAAGTAAATGACACCTCGGACGTAACTTTGCTTCCGGTGTGAGACTGCAAGTAACACTGGTTCATTGTGAGTCGCAATAACACTGGTTCACTGTGGGTACAAGTACACTGGTCTTGTGATGCATAGTAACATTGCCCAAAGTGGTGCAAGTAACACTGGTTCATGTGATGCAAGTAAAACTGTTATGTGGTACAAGTAACACTCTGCTAACTGTGAGTCAAGTAACACTGGCTCATTGTGAGTCAAATAACACTGGCTCACTGTGAGGTAACCGTGAGGATAGTACATGCTCACTGTGGTGCCAGTAACACTGGCTCATCGAGCAAGTGAAAACATGTGGTGCAAGTACACTACTCACTGAGAGTTGAAGTACACTTGCTCATGTGAGTCAAGTAACACTCGCTACTGAGCTACCAAGAACTGCTAGACTATGTGCTGTAACACTGCTCACAGAAAGTGAAGCAAGCACTTGCTACTGTGTGTGCAAGTAGCACTGGCTCACTGAGAGTGCAAGTGACACTTGCTCACTGTGAGTGCAAGTGACACTTGCTGACTGTGAGTGCAAGTGACACTTGCTGACTGTGAGTGCAAGTGACACTTGCTGACTGTGAGAGCAGTGCACTTGCTGACTGTGGAGCAAGTGACACTTGCTGACTGTGAGAGCAAGTGACACTTGCTCACTGTGAGTGCAAGTGACACTTGCTCACTGTGAGTGCAAGTGACACTTGCTCACTGTGAGTGCAAGTGACACTTGCTCACTGTGAGTGCAAGTGACACTTGCTCACTGTGAGTGCAAGTGACACTTGCTCACTGTGAGTGCAAGTGAACACTTGCTCACTGTGAGTGCAAGTGACACTTGCTCACTGTGAGGCAAGTAACACTTGCTCACTGTGAGTGCAAGTAACACTTGCTCACTGTGAGTGCAAGTACACTTGCTCACTGTGAGAGCAAGTGACACTTGCTCACTGTGAGTGCAAGTGACACTTGCTCACTGTGAGAGCAAGTGACACTTGCACACTGTGAGAGCAAGTGACACTTGCTCACTGGAGTGCAAGTGACACTTGCTCACTGTGAGTGCAAGTGACACTTGCTCACTGTGAGTGCAAGTAACACTTGCTCACTGAGAGTGCAAGTGACACTTGCTCACTGAGAGTGCAAGTGACACTTGCTCACTGTGAGTGCAAGTGACACTTGCTCACTGGAGTGCAAGTGACACTTGCTCACTGGAGTGCAAGTGACACTTGCTCACTGAGAGTGCAAGTGACACTTGCTCCTGAGAGTGCAAGTGACACTTGCTCCTTGAGAGGCAAGTGACACTTGCTCACTGAGAGGCAAGTGACACTTGCTCGCTGTAGAGTGCAAGTGACACTTGCTCGCTGTGAGAGCAAGTGACACTTGCTCGCTGTGAGAGCAAGTGACACTTGCTCGCTGTGAGAGCAAGTGACACTTGCTCGCTGTGAGAGCAAGTGACACTTGCTCGCTGTGAGAGCAAGTGACACTTGCTCGCTGTGAGAGCAAGTGACACTTGCTCGCTGTGAGAGCAAGTGACACTTGCTCGCTGTGAGAGCAAGTGACACTTGCTCGCTGTGAGAGCAAGTGACACTTGCTCGCTGTGAGAGCAAGTGACACTTGCTCGCTGTGAGAGCAAGTGACACTTGCTCGCTGTGAGAGCAAGTGACACTTGCTCACTTTGAGAGCAAGTGACACTTGCTCACTGTGAGAGCAAGTGACACTTGCTCACTGTGAGTGCAAATAACACTGGCTCACTGTGAGTGCAAGTGACACTGGCTCACTGTGAGTGCAAGTGACACTGGCTCACTGTGAGTGCAAGTGACACTGGCTCACTGTGAGTGCAAGTGACACTGGCTCACTGTGAGTGCAAGTAACACTGGCTCACTGTGAGTGCAAGTAACACTGGCTCATTATGGGTGCAAGTAACACTGGCTCACTGTGGGTGCAAGTAACACTGCCTCACTGTAAGTGTATGTAACACTGGCTCACTGTGGGTGCAAGTAACACTGGCTCACTGTGGGTGTATGTAACACTGGCTCTCTGTGAGTGTAACACTGGCTCACTGTAGGCGCAAGTAACATTGACTCACTGAGAGTGCAACTATGGCTCACTGTGAGTTCAAGTAACACTGTCTAAATGTGATTACAACTAACACTGGCTCACTGTAGGTGCAAGTAACACTGTCTTAAGAGTAGCGCATCCAGCATATCTGGATGTTGTACTCGCTATCCAAGGACATACGGTGGTGTGGATGACTCTAGGTTCATTTCATTCTACTCCCTGTTTGGTGTACTAGTACAACGAGCAGTATTATATACTATTGTACCCGTGAACAAGTGGTATAGATCAATAACAACACTGCGACTAGTCTAGGAGTCGATCCCTTCTGCTTTGGCCTGACTCATGATGGGCGAAAACTTATGACGCCTTAATCCACGGGACAACACAATCCCTAAGAGTAGGGCATCCAGTACTATCTCTTGGGTAGCAAGTATAACATGCAGTTCTGCTGGATGCGCTACTCTTAAGGATTGTGTGGTCCCGTGGATTAAGGCGTCATGAGTTTTCGCCCACCATGAGGCAGGCCAAAGCAGCATAGGCTCGACTCATTGACTAGTCACAGTGTTGTTATTGATATATATAATATATATATATATAATATATATATATATAT